CAAGTTTATGACCCGTCAGAGTGTTGACGATGTAAAGAGAAGTTACTTAAGGAGAGATGTGTAAAACAGAGGCAGGCACGGAACTCCAATGGCAAAGTGCAGATAGTGTGCAGGCCAGAAAGTGATGTAATAATCCAGATCAGGAATGGCCAGGGATGTGGTATGGACATTCCAGAGGGATGAGGAGGAAGGAGTAGGAAACAGGTAAACAAAATACAACGAGATAAGCCATTTATAAAAAATGAGAGGTAAATAGAGTGATGTCAGCAACATGGTGGAATAGGCATTCTCCAGCTCCACTACTCTCACAGAAATCCAACTAGAAACTATCCACAGATAAGAATATTCTCATGAATATTACAGAACTTGGTAGGGAAGCTGGGACACTCCCTTGGACTGCAGAACTGAAAACAGCTGCATGAGAAGGGTAAGAGGAATAGTTTCATTTTGACCACACTGCCCCTCCCCCAGCCAGCACAGCTTTGCACACAGAGGAGTCCCTGGGATGCATGGCTTTTACAGAGAAAGGAGACAGTTGGAGGCAGTCAGCTTCCCCACCATTCTGAGACCCTTCTCCTGTCTTGCCCCATGGGAAACATTGGTGGTGGGCTAGACCACTTGGGGTGAAGAAACAAAAATCAGGGTAGGGCTCACAGCAACAAGTGCAGGAGTCATGGAGGTGGCTCTGCATTCTGGCAAGTGGAGGCACACCAGCAGAGAGGTCAGGCAACAGCACTGCTCTGCAGGAAGCACAGTCAACAGGTCTCCCAGGCTCAAATCCCTGGCTCACTTCCCCATCCAGCTCCGGTGCTTTCCTTGAAACCTCCCCAGGCTGGGAGATAGTGGCATCTCTGCAATTATCCATGGAGGGAGTATCTAGCTCTGCCCAAGCCCAGCAACTGAACTGAATCCCAGGCAAGCCCTGGTGCACTCATTAACCCTTACACAGGTTGGAAGGCATGGAGTGAGTCACCGACTATCCAGGGAGGGAGCAAATGGCCCTGCCCAAATTCAGCTGCATAATGTCAACCCAGCCAATTCCTGAAACTCTCTTTAAGCCCTTGCCAGGCCAGGAGGCAAAAGCTGGTCAGCAAGTATTTGCTGAGGGAAGCACCTGACCCTGCCCAAACACAGCAACAGAGAGGCTACTTCATCAAGCCTCAGTGCTATGTTTAAAGCTACCTTAGGAAGAAAGGCAAGCCCATTTACATGAGTATTCATGGAGCATAGCCTGTGGCTCTGACCACCCTGAGGGGTCAAGTAGAGATTCCAGAGACCCACCCAGCCCTGAAGCCCAGCACATGGCCCTACCCAAATACAGATCCCAAACTCCAATACTAGCAAGCCAGAGAAGACAATCTATAACACTGCCTAGTCAGAGGCAATTGCAGAGCCCAGCCAACAGCTCTGCCTTACTGCAGAATCCAGCCAGTGGTCTCACTGAACCTCACAGCACAGCCAGCAGTTCCACTCAACACCAGAGCACAGGTAACAACCCAGCCCAATTACAGAACATGTCAGCAAGATCTACCTGTCTGGGGTCACTACCAACTGGCCCAACCAGAATCCCAGGCTAGATGAAAAGTGAAGAATCTAACACCACCAAAAAATGCCAGCAAAGGCTGGAAAGGGTGGCTGTTTCCTCCAATGTGTAGGCATGAACACAAACACATGAAAAATCAGGAAAATACACCATCACCAAGATAAATTAACAATAAATCCTGAAGAAATGGAGGTCTGCCAAACTGCAGACAAAGAATTCGGAATAATCCTCTTTAAAAAGTTCAGGAAAGTACAAGAAAATACAGATAGAAAATCTAATAAAATTTGGAAAACAATTCATGAACAAAATGAGAAGTACAATAAAGAAATAGAAACAATAAAAAGAGTAGAAATGCTAGAGATATAGAATACGATAGCTGAACTAAAATATTCAGTATAAAGCCTCAACAGCTGACTTGACCAAGCAGTAGAAAGAAAATCAGTGAACTTGAAGATAAGATAATTGAAATTATCTAGTCAGAGTAATGAAAAGGAAAAAAAGAATTAAAAAGAATGAATTAGGCCTACAAGAATTATGGAACACCATTAACAGAACTAACATTCTGGTAATAGGAGTTCCTGAAGGAGAAAGGAAAGGGCCCAGAAAACATATTTCAGGAAATAATGGTTAAAAATTTCCCAAATCTGGGGAATGGTAATAACATCCAAGTACAGAAAGTTCAGTAGTCTCTAATCAAATTCAACCCAAAGAGAAGTTCTCCAAGACAAATCATTATCAAATTATCAAAAATCAAAGACAAAGAAAGAATACTAAAATTTTAGTAGCAAGGGCTAAGATACATATCATATTCAAGGGAATCCCAACACAGCTGTCAGCAGATTTCTTGGCAGAAATACAGCAAGCCAGGAGAATGGGATAATACATGGATACTCCAAACAGTTCATGGAAAAATGGAATTAAAAGATAACACAAATCCTTCCATGAACTTTTTGAAGTACCCTTACATATTCAAAGTGCTGAAGGAAGCAACCAAGAAACTTCACCCTGAAAAGCTGTCCTTCAGAAATTAGGGAGAAATAAAACTTTCCCAGAAAACAAAAGCTGAGGGAGTTAATCACCACTCAGTGTGCTCTATAGGAATTGCTAAAAAGAGTTCTTTAAGCTTAAACAAAAGGTTGCTAACAAAACATAAAACATACAAAAGTAAATATCTCAAAGATATAAGTAATATATAGTCATATTTAAAATACTCTAATACTGTAAAGGTGATGTGTAAAGTAATTTTATCTGTACTGTGAAGGTAAAAACCCAAAATTATTAAAAACACCTGTAGTTAGAATAAATAGGTAGAAAATGCAAATTACATAAAAGATCAATTTTTATATCAAAATTATAAAAGGGAGGAAGGCAGTGAAAGTGTTGAGTTTTTGTTTGTAATTAAAGTTTAATTGTTATCAGCTTAAAATAGCCTAGTTTAAGTACAAGATGGTTTATATAGGCCTCCTGATAACCACAAAACAAAAACCTGTAGCAGATACACAAAATATAAAAAGAAAAGATTCAAAGCAGACCACCACAGAAAACCATCAAACCACAAAGAAAGACAGCATGAGAGGAAGAAAGAAACAAAGGATCAAGAAAACAAATTACAAAATGGCAGCAGCAAGTTCTTACTTATCAATAATTACCTTGAATGCAAATGGATTAAATTCTCCAATCAAAAGACCAGAGTGGCTGAATGGATAAAAAAGTAAAATCCAACCATATGCTGCCTACAAAAGGTTCTCTTTACTGGTTAGGACACATAAGACTGAAAATGCAGGGATGCAAAAAGATATTTCACACAAGTGGAAACCAAAAGAGAGCAGGGGTAGCTATACTTATATCAGATAAAACAAAGTTTATATAGAAAAACTATAAAAAGAGACAAATAAGGCCATTATATAATGACAAAGGGATCAATTCATCAAGAGGACATAATTGTAAATATATATTCACCCAACCCGATAGCACCTAAATACATGAAGGAATCTCTAAATGATCTGAAGGAAAAAATAGACTGTGATACAATAATAGTGTGGGACTTCAATACTCCACTTTCAATAATAAACAGATGTCCTAGTCAGCAAATGAATAAGGTAG